ATTACAATAGTGAGGCAGAGAGATCCCAAATTTGCTGTGATCAAGAGACCAGAATTTCACAGGATCTGCTGCCTCTTGTGGGTCTTTTGTCTATCCAGAAGGAAATGGTAATTGGCAGATAGAATGAGCAACTGACAGACATGGTCTCATCTGTTAATCTACCCAAATATGTGTCATAACAGAGTGGAGAGAGGTACGAAATAGCAAGAGGATGAGGAATCTAAATTTAGACTTACTGTAATTTTAGACCAAAGATGGCTACTGCCTGAAGCAAAGACCTAATTACTAAGTGCCAGATGTTGCAATTCAGAAACACATCTGTAGCATAGGGAAATAAGTAGGAAATCCTCTCAAAGATAAAAATGCCAGATGATAAGGCATTTTAAAACTTAATTAATTTTATAACATATGGCAATGCTTTCAGAAACATTGAGTGTGTTTTGAACAACTTAAGTAGAGGGTGTTGACCAAAAGTAAGTTTGTTTTCAGAAGCATCTGTTTACCACATATATTTAAAGTAAACAGGATTTGTTTATTCAAAATAAAAAGATTGGAGAGGTTGGCTTTTTAATTAAATAAAACATTAACAGGATCCATCTGCTTATTTGCTGTGCATTGACAAACCTAGGAGTGTTGAATAAAAAAAGGGACATCTATCTGATACGCATCAGGCAGTCATCCAATGACATCGCTGCTAGTCAAGTAAACCCACAAGCTTCAATTTCCTTCTGTTACACCTAGAATTCTCACTGGAATGTTGTACACTTTGAACTATTTTCAATTATATTATGGACGGGGGAATTGTTCTGTCAGAGTTCATGTCTGAATAACTAAATCAAATGTACCATGAAGCCATAGTACACAGGCAAGTTTTTGCCCCTATGCATTGCTGTTTACATTCTGTTGATGTGACTGCACATCTTTATCAGATTTGTAAAATATATCACTATTTTATCTTAATATTTTACTGCGCTGCATTGAATTAATTTTTATAAGCAATATATGGTTTAGACTAAGCGGATGATCTTTTTTAAAGGTTCTTTTCCTCCAGTGGTCCAACTTCATCAGTAGTCAGATCATTTCATACATAGTGGTCATTTATATTATTTGCTAGGGCCAGAAGTGGGATTTATCTTAACCCATTACAATCAATTTTGAGAGATTCTGTATATCACATTTACATTATTGAAGATACAGGGAGAAGAGGGTGAAAGAGAGATGATATGCAGAAACTGACTTAATATTTGAAACAGGTGAACTGAATAATAAACACAAACCCTATCACTGTCAACCCCAACTTCTGTTGTTTTTCTGATTTTCACACTACAGGTATGTATCAGGAACACACAGACACAAGTATTTCTGGTCCTCCTTAAACTTGAATTAACCAAACCCTTCAATAATCCTTCAGCTGGGACAAATGGTGCTGACTAATCTCATGGCCAACCAGATAACCTGGGCTGCATCAAGAGAAGCATGGTCAGCAGGTCAAGGAAAGTGATTGTCCCCCTCTATTCTGTTCACATGAGATCCACACTTGAAGTACTGAATCCAGGTCTGGAGTTTACAGTACATGAAAGGCATGGAGCTGTTGGAACAGGTCCAGAGAAGAGATGATCAGAGTGCTGGAACTCATTTCCTATGGAGAAAGTATGACTGGAGAAGAGAAAGTCCTAGGGAAACATTATTTTGGGCTTTCAGAATAAAAAGAGGCTTACAAGAAAGATGGAGGAAAATATTTTACCAAGACCTGTAGTGATAGAACAAGGAAACATGTTTAAACTGAAAGTCAGTAGGTTTAGACAGGCCATAAGGGGAAAAATTATCTTGAGTATTGTGAGACACTAGAAGAGCTTGTCCAGAGAAGTTGTGAATGCCTCATCCTGGAAGTGTCTAAGGTTAGTCGTGTGGGGCTTTGAGCAGCCTGGTCTAATGGATGATGTCCTTGCCCATGGGCAGAGCTAGATGATCTTTAAAGACCCCTTTAACCCAAATGTTTTTTGAGTCTATGAATATCTTCTAGATGTATAGCAAACTAGAGCTGTTTTCACCAAAATAGTTCTCTCATTCTAAAAGGTCTTGCTGTATTCTAGCTAGAAGTGGTGGGAGACTGAAGGATATATAGGTGATTGCAGTGTTACAGCAAAAGGTGACAGCAGTATATAAAATACCTGCTCTTTTATGGGGTAGTGGTGTCTCTTAAAATGAGGGATAGCTTGGCAGAACTCCATTATCGACATTGAAGACTATAGTGAGGCCAGAGCCAGCACATTGTACTAGCTTCTGTTAGATGTGGGAGTGGAGATCTGAGTGGTAGTCTATCTCCAAGACCTAGCATCTGAATGGATGGGAAGGAAAATAATACTACATGGAGTTAAGATTATTTGTGTGTAGAAATAAACTAAAAATGTGAAAGAACTCAGAAAGCTGCATGTCTTGGAAATATTTTGCCCATTGCACGTGACTTTGTTTCAAAATCATGTATAATTCTGGATAGTAATATCTCCTTTAATACTCTTAGATTCCTTTTTTCAAAACCATTTTTTTCAGCTGTTGCTGATTCCTCAGTATATACATAATCAGTATCTATTAAACAGTGTTTCACAATGTCTAAAATTTTTCATCATCTCTTTTGATATATTTGTGCACACTGGTTAGGAAGCACCATAACACTTTCTCCTTCCCATGGTGTGCTCAGGTTTATAGTACAGTGCACTGGATATTTGATGGCTATTAAATTTTAGTATAGTAAAATCAATGTTGCATACTTTTATCAAATAGACAATAAAATTAATTCAGATCATGAGCCTTAAGAAAATTCCATCTTCTGGAAAATTAAGGATATTTTCCCTGTGGATTTAATAAAAAATCCTCAAACCCATACTTCTGCTCTTACTTTCAGTTCATCACACCTTCAAAGCTTTTCCGGTTAAAAGAAAAATGAGGTCCCTCTGTTTCCAATGTGCACATTTTCTTTCAAGAAAGTCTATGTACTACTGCTTTAAAATTAAGTCTCACCTTGTGGCAAACAGAAACCAATGAGGCAATCAGACTCCAGTAATTGCAGTTGAATAGCTTTAACAACTTTTTATTAGGAACAAGAAAACAGTAATTATAGAGCTGAAAATGTACTTATGGAAACCACAGAAAGCACAGGGGTCTTTGACATAAAAACTCAGAGTCCTTCTGTTTTTCCTTTGCCTAAAAGAAGTGACTTACAGTATAAATAAAATTGATTGATTTGGGGGAGGATTTGGGAGCATGAGTTCCACTGACAATCAGTGGGATTTATCCTAAGTCTCTTATTTATTTCTGGGAATCTCAGCTTTGAGGAAGATATATTGTTAAACATACTGGGGCTTTCTGTGGGTTTTTTTTTTTTCTCACTGTGTATATCAGAGACGTGATTTCATTATTAATCAATGGTTTACTCCCTACATGCTATACTCCCATGGGTATTTTCATTGACTGTGAAATAAGTGTCTTAAACAACATGTTCTGTTTACAGCTCCAGAGCTACTGTAGAAACAACTCTTCAGATATAAACACATTACTTGTTACCAGCATCTGTTACAATTCTGAAGCAGACGATAATGGAACAAAAATAAAAATGAATGTATTAACTCAACCTAAAAAATGATAAAGAGAAACCAAGCATGACTGTATGCTAACAGGTGATGCTGAAGAAATACAGCTTGGCCATTTGGATTTTCTAAAAATAGTGAAATTTATTTATAGCTGTTGCTTTTAATACAGGAATAATGCTCTCTAAGCCTTATGGCAAGCCTTTAGACATTAGGGTTGCCTTTGGGAAGGAAATATCACTGAGTAAAATTATTAGGCTGTCACAGGGTATAGGGAAAAAATCTGGTCATTATGTCCTGGGACTAGAGTAATCACTATGGAAGCCAAATAGATGGTCTGGGGAAGGGAATAGCTGTCACGTTATGTGCAGCTCTTTGAGTGACATGTTTTGAACAGATAGGAATGGGTGGCAGCATTGAAATTTTCCTGAAATTGGCTGTCTCCCTTATTTAATTTATCATAATTAGTTTTCATCCTTTCTTTTCTATTCTCCACTCTTTCTAATAATCTCTCCATTTCTTATTTATTCCCCCCACCTTTCTTTATTTAAGAATATCCCCTGGGTTGGCTTCCAGTACAAGACTTGTTTCAGTAAGAAGAATTCTTCAGATAAAAGAAAAGTCCACTTAAAAATCCTTCTAATGGAAACATGGCTGCTACCAGTAAAATAAATGTCTTTAGTTACTGGTAATAGTTCAAAACTATTAGAGAGCATCCAAAGGAGGGCAGAAAAGATGAGGAAGGACATTGAGGAGAAGCTGTATGAGGAGTGATTGAAGTCACTTGGTCTGCTCAGTGTGGAAATTAAGGGGAGACCTCACTGCAGTTACAGCTTCTTGTGAGGGGAAGAGGAAGGGCAGACACTGATCTTTACTCTATGGTGATCAGTGACAGGACCCAAGGGAATGGCCTGCAGTTGTGCCAGGGGAGGTTTAGGTTGGCAATTAGAAAAATACTTTGATTCTGGCAATTGTCTCAGGAAGAATTACTCAGATTTGCTTTATTCTGAAAAGAACCTAAAATTACACAAATGTTAGAAGCAAGAAAATTATGTAGTCTAGATGCTTTATACAAAAACAGAAGGAAATTGAAACATATTCCTGTGGCCAGGGATATCTTTTTACAGCCGATAACTAATGTTTCACTCTGTCTGTACTCAGGCTACAGAGGGAAACAGAGTGCGAGGAAGAGTCCAGATGGAGAACTGAAATGGTAGTTTTAACTTTGCTCTTCTGCCTTTTCTCTCAGTTCTTTCTTTCTGACTTTGTTTTAAAGGATACAGGTTTAGATTTCAAACATAACCATGTCAGAATTTCCAGCCCATCTGAACCAACCTTGTTTCCTCAAAAAGGACAAGTGATGCATCCAGCTTTACTGATCTGAGGTTTTTTTGGGGTTTCTTCATTTATTTGTTTGTATGGAGGGTTGGGGGTTTGGGAGTGGGGATTGGTTGGATTGTTTTTCTTTTTTTTAGTCAAATATTTCATTTACAATAAATATGCATATAGTCCCATTCCTCCAAAACAAAAAGAAAAGGAAAGAAACTGTTGTGGTGGTTTTTCAGGGCAACTGTGCTTTCCATTTACTCTAAATTAAGTGCTTTTTCCAGTGTTATACCCTGTACTTCTCTCTTTGCACTCAGAGATCTGGTTCTTTAGAAATGCTCTTAGCAACCTGTCCCCAGATTAATGTCTCCAACTTCTGTGTTTTCAGTCAGTATGCCTATGTCTTTAACAAACTTCTCTGTGTTCTGGGTTTTGATCTCTGTCATTACAGAAAAAGATTTTGTAATTTCATTTCTCCTGAATGAAAGCTGTGACCAACATATACATTCTCAGAAGAATCAGCCATTACTACCAACAACCACCATCTGGAGGTAACCACAGTTACTAAAATTTTGTCTATAAAATTTTGCTAAACAGATGTCCTACTCATCTCTTACTTAGGTTTAGTAACTCCCCTTTATTTTCTTTAGGGGAGGCCCCTTCATAATACAGGTCGGTTGATGTGGTTTTAATCTTAAATAGTGTCTTTATACCTTCATGCAAATAAATTACTAATGCAAGAGAAAGATTTTACTAAATAGAGAAGGAATCTCAGCTTCTTGTGTAGAGTCATGAAGAGGGTTTCATAGCTTGCAAAGTAGAACCTTGAACTATTTAAAGCTTTTTTATAAATATTATTACTTTTCTTTTGGTTTTAGTGTTTGGTTTTTGTTTTGTTCTTCTCCTTAATCTTCAACATAACAGCTGTTCTATACATACTTTCCAGCACCAGCTTAAGTATCTGATACCCAGAGTTCATATTAACCAGAATAAAATAAGGATTTCTGGAAAAGGGAAAAGCAAAATTAACAACAACAGCAACAACAACAACAAAAAAAAATAGCCTAACAACAACCAACCAAACAAAAAGGCACATCAAAAGAGGATAAAAAGAAAAACATTAAGAAAAACAAGAGAAAAAAAAGACAAATGTATGGATGAGTCGTGCAGGTCTAGGAATTTAAAATTTTCCCTGCTTGCAGAATCACTCATTTTTGGAAGCACTAGGCTGATATGTGAAATTGCACATTTTCAAGGTGAGAACACTTAAGGTAAAAAATAAGGGTAGAGGGAGAGTGAGCAGAATTCATACTAGACAGACGTGTGAACTCTTAGTAGAGACAAAGGTTCTTCTCAGAGACATTACAGCTGAGGGTTAATAAAGTTGTTAAGGACACAGAAAATGAGAGCATAGTTTAAGTTCAGTGCACATTAAATATTAAGATCTCAGACAACAGTTTTTTTGAAAAAGCCTTTTTACAGTTTCTGTGCAGTGCCCACATATTTTTGACTTTTTTTAAAATATGAGTTTGAGTCTGTAGCATATGAAGAAAATAGTATAAATAATATTACAAACCATGAAGTAGGGGATCAATACATTTTAACATAGACTTTCTTATTTAATTTCTAGCAAATATCTCTCTTCTTATTGTTGACAGCTTCATTAAGGCTGGCTTGACTGAAAGTCGAGCACCCAAAATTGCCAGTTCTGCATAGTACCTTGCAGCACAGAATGTAAAATAGAAATGGCAGGTCAAGCCAGGAGAAATCACAGGAATGGGAGATAGGGGGCATTTCTTAGAAATGGTTGTCTTTCACCAACTTATTTTGAGGTTGAAATTATATCTTGAATTATAAAAGCTTAGCCTATAATGGAAAAACAAATGTATGAAAAATTATTGCCTGCTGCACACACTCCTCTCAGCAACCTTAGTCCTTTTGTTAAGAGTCACCATTTCAATTTAATATCTTCTCTGAGGAAAATGATGCAATATCAAAACAACTTTCACACAATAAAAGACACTGGAAATTAAATTGACAGTAATGAAAATAGTGGTGCCTCCATTTGCTGAAATAAAGTGAACGCTACTTTTTAGTGATGTACTAATTTCCTTAAGTAATCTGATTTTTTTTCTCATCCCTATGTGCAGAAGAACAGCTCCTAAGATTAAACTGCTGGTGGCATTTGGAGTGCTTTGTACTGGGAACTTGATAAAAATGCTCAGTTTAAAATGTTTTTATGGGTTCTAAAATGCCAACCTATTAATATTGTATAAGGCAGTGGGGCTATTGACTGTGGTCCAGCCTAGTTTCTGCTGCCACATTTTATTTTTGTGCAATACAACTGTACAATGCAGGACATTGCTGGTAGCAAGCCAGGTTACTCCCATAGTAGTGTATACCAATGTATCACTGATGAATAGATCTTGGGATTAATAGGAAGATAAAGACTTCAGGATTCACTGATAGCTCAGACACACCAAGATTAAGTATAAAGGGTTTTGTAAGTCAGTAATTTTAAAACATGAGTGGCAATGCCTACTCTGGGTTGCGAAATGAAAGCTGGGAGGAAAAGGGAAAGGGAAAAAGAGCATACTCACTGAAAACTGCAGTGTTTTGGAGTTTCTTCTATGGACAGCAGTGGGAGTGATCAAGTTTGAAGAGCCACATGTCTCTGTTCCCAGTAAAACCAGATATGCTATTAAGGCTCTTCTGCCTGTGGAGACACTGCAAAGGTAGCACTTGCATCAATGTTATCTCCTCTGACTATGGGCTGAAAAGCAAACTTACTCATGCAGATGCAGCCAGGTCAGTCTGCTGGATGCAGGCTCATACAGCTCCTTGGCAGACTAGTCATGCTAAAAAAAATCACATACTTCTTAGAAGATCCAAGGAGAAGATCTTGTCTGTTCAGTTTAAATACATTAATTTTGATGGCCAGGATCTCTTCCTTGATATTACCATACACACTCACCTGCCTCACTGTGCTGTAGAGGGAACATGGGCACCCACCTCAGATCCCAAACACAGTTTACTCAGAAGCAATTCTCATGGAAAAACATCACTCTTCCTGTAGCTGAGAAATTGCTTTGTTTAAAATCCTGTCATAAAGTGCCTGACAGAGAGTATCTTGGGGGGGTTTTGATTTCACAGAGTGAAAAGTTAAGTGAGGTCTTTCCCTGTAAATGGTTGTTGTCCTTCACCCCGCTTCCCTGCAGGCAGACCTTTGCACTCTGAAAAGCTCAAATGAAATAAGTATAGTTCAAAAAGACCACAGGGCTTTACAACTTGTATGAAATAAGAGATAATTATGGAAAAGACACTAAAAGTGCATTACAGACACCAGGAGGCAATAAGAGGCAAGGGACAAGTTTACAAACAATCCTGCCCTTATGTAGGCCAGCAGCGTGCACAGCTTGACAGTTCAATATATAGCGTGTAAACTGTATACAATTTTATAGTTCTAAAATATTGTATTGAATCAGTACTTCAATAAATCCCACTAATCATTGCTCTGCATCAAACACTACAATCATGAAAGCATCAAGCTGCCTTACTCCTTTTGAGCTCCCTGGCATTTTCTGAGTTCTAGGGCAAGCAAATTATCTCACTGTAATAATTGTCAGATCCCAATCCTTATTCTTGTTCCACAGAAACAGATCCACAGAGCCCCACAGCATTACAGTGAAGATTCAGTGAGAGATTCGGAAATACATCTACAAAGCCAGGTCCATACCCTGTTTATCTTGGGTTCCATTTAAAGAGAGCAGAGTTGAGTGTGTGTGTGGAAAAAGTGGGGGTAAGGTCTCTCACTGGGAATAGCAACCACTGGTATATAATAAACCAACAAATTATACTAATAATTTAGAAAAGGCATCACTTCTAGTTGTGTTGAAACTACCTATCACTGTCAAATACATAAAGCAAAATTACTTAGCATTCACATATAGTGAAAAATAATACTGTAAAAGTCTGGCATGTTGATATAGATTGTCGGTTCTGTCTCTCTTGCTACAGAAAATAAGAAATAACTGAAGCCTATGATGGACAAGAATGAGACCAGAAAGGAAATAAAAAGCTGAAGATGGTGAGTTAGAAAGGCCATCAAACCACACAATTCTTTGTTTGGTGCCATGCTTTTGTGCTACAGTCACTTCTTCCAGTACCAATTTTTTATGCCCATGTCTGGCAGCTTTCTGGAATAACCTCACCCTACTTCTGTACTCTGACAATGATTTATGTTGCATTGAGTGGGGCAGACACACTCCTTTAGACCAGGACTTCAGAGCGATATCCTGTCTGGAAAGGCAAAAGCCCTGGCATGCCAGTTTGTAGTTGCACTCAAACTGGCATACCAATTTGTAGTTGCACTCAATTCTGCCAGAGTTTGTAAGTAAACAAAACAGAAAAGAGAAGTTTCTATATAGCCTAAAACTAGACTTCTTACAGCTGATGGCTTCATCTAACTTGTGGTCCTGAGAAGTGGAGGCCTGAAGAGAAATCCATATATCATGGGTTATGTATCAGGTATTGCAGAAGTTACCAGCAGTATCAGGGTTGATGAATGACCAAGAAAAATTTTCCTGTTGCTGAGGACTTAATATTTGGAGTGCATTGAAGGAAATTATCATGAAAGCTGCTGAAAAGCTTCAAATTATAAAATTTCTGATAACTGTAATTGTATTTCATTCAAGATTTGTATGGATCTCTTTATATTCCTTGGGTGCTTCAGCAAGCACAATTATCTCAAATATCTCAGTCACAATTTAATTCAAAATGCAAATAAATTATCCTACAACTTCAGAGAAGAAACCTCATTATTCAAATAAAATCATTACTAGATAATCAGTGTAATCTTGCAGAGATGATGTACAAAATCAAAGTGTGCATTTTTTAGACTGTTCTCTAATAAATCAGTATAAATTAGGCAGCTGATTTAAAGGGAAACAGGATTCCACCAAGTATCATTGTTCCAATAAAATATGAGTTCAAGTTATGATGAAAAACATGCATTAACTTTAAATCTATGCAAAATCTGATAATTCTCATTCTATTAAAAAAAAAGTAAATAAAAATATCCAGTGCTGCTAAATGCTCACATTTGGGTTGAAGGGCCATAAAGTTGCTAAGAGGACTGGAGCATCTGACCTACAAGGACAGGCTAAGAAAGTTGGGGCTGTCAAGCCTGGAGAAGAGAAGATTGCATCATAACAATATTTCAGCATCAGAAGGAGTCTACAGGGAAGTCAGAGAGGGATTCTTTGTCAGGAACTGTAGTGACAGAACAAGGAATAATGGGTACAAACTGAAAGGGTGGAAATTTAGGTTTTATACTAGGAAGAAACTTTTTATTGTTTGATTAGTGAAACACTGGAGCAGGTTGCCCAGGGAGGCTGTAAATGCCTCCTCCCTGACAATGTTTAAAGCCAGGCTGGATAAGACTTTGAGCATCCTGGTCTAGTGGGAGGTGTCCCTGCACAGGGCAGTGGGGCTTAGGACTAAATGATCTTTAAGGTCCTTTCCAGCCCTCAACATTCTATGATTTTATGAATTAGCAATAATAATTTTATTCAAATAATATAAAAATAGTAAAGATCCAGAGGATTTTCTTATTTCTGTATCTTATTAAAATATAGGTGGTCTCTACTTCAAGATGAAGCTCTAGTAACTCACAGTGCATTCTCTGCTCGTGTAAAGTCATGTGTTGTGCAACTTTTCTCTTTATTTCTCAATTTGAGATAATACCTTAGTGTTGTGCTATATCAGTGCTCCGAGGTGTAAATATTGGAAGAGAACAGATGTATTTTGCAAGATGTCCAATTAGTAATTTCTTTGTTCTCTGTAATATTTGTCAGAGCCATAGGTACCCAGGTAAATACAGTGTAAGTTTGTGTACAAATGCCCCTACCCATGTGTGGACATTTAACTTTTCTGCCCCAAGCATACAATCAAAGACAAATACGTTAATATATGTTCAAGAAGAAACAGATGTTTTTATCCACCAACTTTTTTATTCTTCCCTTATGTGACTTATGGCATCACAGAAAACCATAATTCTAATCTTCAAATGCTCCTCCAAAATTTGGAGTGTTACTGAATTCAAAAGGGACAGTAAGTCAAATGGATCACACTAGATTGTTCTATGGTGCTAATTTTCACATTTTATTGCTGCTGGGTAGATTGGTTATAGGACTGCATTGGTTACTACGTTATGTGTTTCTAAATTCATCTTGTCACCTAAATTATTTTATCTATATCTATATCTATATCATCTATATCTATATCTATATCTATATCTATATCTATATCTATATCTATAGAGCTTTCTCAGTGGAAGGTCTTTAGGGTTGTGGAACACTTCCAGTTTGCCAAAAGTTCAAAAAGGGACCCTAGATTACTTTCACTGAGCTTCTTACTGACTTACATACTAATTGCATATATTATTGTATTACTAATACTAAATAGTAAAAATATGTATTTTATTTTAACCTAAGCTATAGTGACTATAGTGATAAATTTTCATCAATGAGCTCTAAAACGCAGTTTATCTTGTATACACTGTCCACATTATTTCACAATTGCAGCCAGATGGCTATTATGAATGTCTCTTTGTATTCTGTCTCCTACAAAACAGAGAAATCAACCAAAGCATAGTAGCACAGGCTACTATAGAGTGGCTGATTCCAATGAATGAGATGCCCTCATCTTTCTCTAAAGGTCTCCAGATGGAATGGAGCCAAAAGGGAAGCACTGATCTGTTGGCTTCTGATGGAGAGAAAAAAAGGAAAATGAGTTAATGAGCAGGCATTGGACATATTCAATTTATAAATGTTCTTTTATGATGAGTGGGTTGTTTCTGTTCAGAATAAGCAATCTTACAGTGTCAAGGAAGATATAACGGTTTTACGAAGGTATAAATTTTGGGCAGTCAACTTTGCGTATTGAATCTGCCCTCTGTTAAATCAGCCAGTTGCCACATTGGGCTCCAAATGTTTAGAAAAACAACTAAGTGAGAGAGAGAGGTGAAAAACCCTGTGTACGTGTTGCACTCTTGTTCACAGTACAAAAATCACAGTGGATCTACTTTTTAGCAAAGGTGTGGGATGGTGGGAGGGCCTGTGAGGACTGTGTGATGGGCCCACAAGGCAGCTAAAGCTGCAGAGCAGCTCTGCTCTTTCTGCACCCCAGGGTAAACACAAACCCCACAGGACCTGACGGTCGGTCCTTAATTAGAAAGAAGGTGTTACTGGAGAAGATGGCAAACAGCCCGGTGCCCTAACAGTTGCCATATCAAAGAGCTAGAGAGGAGAACGGTAAATAGTTACCTAAACCATGGAGAAGAATTTGTCATGCACTTACCCTCTTTCCTGCTTTCAGTAAAGGATTTTTCTTCAAGATAAAGATATCTTTGTGATTAAGGAAAGAAAATTATTTCGCTAAGCATCGAGCAGCTCAGGTTTATTCTTGCATACTTGAGGATCAGGCCTGGAGCTAGCTCTTCTTAATGATCCCAAAAATTTAAACTCTGACTTAATGACCATCAACAGAGGCCTTCCATTACAACAGCTATGCAAAACCTTGGAGGTGAGGGTCGGGGTTTGCATTTTGCTTATTCAATTCAACCAAATTAGCCAGTAAATTAAGAAAATAAACTCTTTACTCACAGTTTGTTTCCTTCAAGTCCAAGCACATCCACAGTGGCACTGTAAGAAATTTGCCTAAACTTGCCACCATGGCTGCTTAACACAGGAGGATTTTAGAAAAATAAACACATCCATTTTCCAGCTGTTTTATGGTTCCTTAACAGCAAGACTTAGAAAACAGCCAATAATTTTCATACAACTATAATCTGCAAAAATAGCACAATTGAAGAGAGGGTTTTTTACCATTCCATATTGTAAGGCTGAATATGTACTGCACAGGCACATCACAATTCAAAGAGTAATTCTGCTTGCAGGTGTTGTACTCTTTCATGAAGGCTTACAGACTTTAGAAAGTTGTCTCTCAAGAGACAAGGGCTCACAGTATAGGACTGTTGCAAGGTTTTTCCAAAAATAAATAACCAATAGAGAGTATCCTACTGAGTGAGAATATTGCAAGGAAACAGCACACTATGGAAAACTACACCACAATTTTCCTAATAAAGCAACAACAAAAAGAAAGTTTGTTAAAGCTGCAAGATATGCAGCAAGACTGTCATCAGAGCAGGAACTGGTAAGTGAAACTGAAAAATATTAAATTGCCTTTATTCAGATATGGAGTTACAGGGTCTGAACCACTTTCTTTGCATACCCTCTGAAGGCATTAGGAGTGACACACAGAATGCAAGATCAGGAGCCTGCAGCAAAACCAGGGCTTAGCGCAGCCGTTCAGGGAATTTGTGTTCTCTCTGCTAAGATAAATTAGAATAACAAATATTGGGAGAGACTAGACAGGGAGTTCACCTTGCTAAGTGGTTACCATTTGTGCTCCAAGTAGAAACATAAAGTAACAAAATTATGCCTGATTTACAAACAGGCAATTCTTTACTCTACTTGGAAGAAATAAGGATTGATTCCTGCCTTCATGTGCACCTTTAAGTCTGTTCTCACTTAAGACTTAGACTTTTTAAGCTGAAGCTTTCCTTGTTTAATTTATTATTTATATTACTGTTAGCATTAATATTTCATAGCCATTAGCCATTTGTGGGATGAAAGAGAAGCCCAACTTTTATAGTCAAAGAATCAAATATATAAAATTGTTTTTTCAAACTAAGAAATGGTTACATTAAAAAAATACAGGAGAAGTTTTCTGCATATAAACTTCATTTATAATTCAAAACCTAAGATAATGAGTCTCAAAGGTCAAGTCTTCCAAGTGATCTGGCTGACCTTGGAATCAGCCTGTGAGACTCTCTCAGGGTTCTTAAGCAGTGTCCCCTGAGGCTTAGTGATATTAGATCTTTTAAATCTGGCAGCTTTCATCTTTCTCATTTCTTTCATGAATCATAGAAACACTCAAGATACCAAATGGCAAGATATACTGGATATTTACAGAGCTTCCTTTGCCCATGAGGTAAAACCATAGAAGATCTCACAAAAATACCATTATGCAGCAGGCACTTATTCAAATTAATTTTTTTTTTTTTTTTTTTTTTTTTTTTTGTCACAGCAAGAAGGAGACCACAGGAAATAGAACTTTGTAATGCAACTTTCTGAGCATCAAGACAATTTCAGAATAAGCAATGTAGCCACTGAGCCATAGTAGAGGACATCAGAGCAGAAAATGGCTGGTGTAGCTCCTCAGTGTGGAGTTAGCAGGTCCAGAGAAGACAACTGCAGCAGCTGGCAGGAGGCAGAGGGCCAGCTGAGACAGCATTCCAGATGACAAAATGTCTCATTATGGTTCTGTACAGACATGCTTAGTTGAACCGATAGTCTGTACCAAAACAGATAAGTTTCTGTTTGCTTTAAATCTTATTATTGATCTAGGACTCCAGATTCCCCCTTACTGTTTTATTGAGACTATCTTTCAACATTGTAATTTCTAAATCTAGCTACTAAATAAAGTGATACAATAAGAATAATTTTGAACAATAGAACAATGGATATGTATTATTTCCACACAATATCTCAGAAATTAATCCTGGTTTTCAATTAAATATCTACTAAAATTTTCTTAGAACACTATGTAAGAGCAGCTAATAAGAAAAGCAGTGTAATCTGTAAATATGCATGTTCCAGACAACCAAATATGACATAATGTTTACAGGTTTAGGCATTGCCTTTATTAAAAAATTAAAAATAAAAACCTTTCAAAAATGTGAGTATGAGAATGGATTATTTATTTCTCCTAATGTATGACAAGGAGATTAGTCATGAATGTTGTGTGCTGTGTTTCAAAGATTTGAGTTCAACTTCTCAGGGCAATATCTGGTTTTATTATTAATCGTAAAATGTTCAGCTTTCACTGGGCTTCCATTGGGCTCTGTTTTTATGAAACAGAGGCTTTCCTGAAAAACCTTACTTTGAATTAGGAGTAACAACCCATTTGCTTCACTGATCCAATTTATTCCCTGGGACATTTCTAACTTTGCCCGCCATGCCCAGTTAGCCTATTTTTCTATGGAGATGTTTAGCTCTAACTCAAGGTATTCTACAGAAGTGTGTAGGATTCACCTGACCTGGTGTAGACATCTATGTCTTTTTTAACCAGTCCCTAACTGTTAAGGAAAAATGGTTAATTATAGGATATAATTCATTCTTTCTAATATAGATGCCCCAAATAATGGGTCAAACTTCTTTTTCCAAATTACCTTTTTCATTAACAACTGACAAGAAAGAAAGTAGAAGATGGCTGGTTCAGTGGACAAATCTACAGTCTGAACCACCTGCTCAGATGTGTAGATTTCTTACAAATACAAGTTTTTTAAAGCAAAGTATTTTAAATTGCCTTTTGAGGCATGTTTTTGTTAATTGTTTCCATATGATGGATGACTTTTTCATGATGTACCAACAGCTGTTTTGGTGGTATCATTGGATTAGGTGTTTGACCAGCTCTGCAGCATCATACTTCCTATGTGTTGGAAAGTTCCCATTGGAAGCTGTGTACCATTAACCTCACTTTGCAAACTCATGAGCTTACTGAGGGACAGATCTGTGGTTACTAGGGAGAAGTGTACATTGGAAAAGATGCATTTTAAGTTATGGAACACAGAATGCTGGAGGCTTAAATCTTTACCCATCCCCAGGGATAAATAATGAAGTATATCAATGTATTAAATTACAAAGTATATGTATAATTTTACAGCTTAAGTATTCAGGTGATCAATATAGTCTAAAGGCCTGAACACAGGAATTAATATGTACTAAATTTATCTCAGCAATTATTTAGAATTGAAGTAATGCAAAAAATACCTCAGCATTTGGATTATTATTTCATCTTCAAAAAAGTGCTGTTATTTTTTTTCACTTTTTTTCCAACCAGTTCTGAAGCAGAAAATAATCTGAAAAAAATATTAAATAAAATGAAAAGAGAAGATAATAAAAATTGCCTCTGCAAAGAAATATCTGATTGAACATCCTACATAAATAGGCATGGGTAGATCTAGATGAAAACTGAGAGCATGACAAATTTCATTCCTCTTAGTTTATCTTTTAAAGCCTTTTGTATTAAAGATATATTTATATTAATTTGAGATACCTTAATTGCAAATCATTATTTTTCTCACCTCTTAATCCTAAATTGCAAGAACACGATTTGCACCCAATTTTAAAGTTAACAAATTAATGAGTTGATATTAAAAAACAATTGATGGGCTAGAAGCAATATTAGGGGTTTTGTTTCATTTACTTTATTTTGATTAATTTCTAAATCTTTCAACATCTTCAGATATGTTTACTTGCTACATTTCTGTGAGAGGAATAAATTGCAGCAGTAACATTTTTCTGATGGTATGTCAGCTGTCTCTTCCACTGAGCTGATGAGAAGACCTAATTTCTTTCTTCATAACATCTGATAATACTTGGAAAAGGAGCTATCCCCAGTCTTTAGATATGGATATAGTTCAGAAGACTGGACTACTGATATACCTTGACAGTTAATTGACTGGCAGCAAGGTAAATTAATGCATTTATAGGATAAAATATACTTTAAGCAGAAAGCTCAACTAAGACCAACTTTCACTTCAGATCACAGGTAAGCTTTACTTTTCAAGTTTATGTGAGATTTAATTACATATGGCAAAACTCTCAGATATTAAAAAGTCATCAGATATTAAAAAAAAAAAAAAATCTGCAAAGTTTACATTGAAAATATGACTCCTAGAAACTCCTAGAGTCATAAACCACTAGGATAGCTTATCAGTGAAAGTGATAAATTTTCTGTTACCTGAACCCCTTATGGCCTTGTTTTAGCAAAGCACTTAAGCTTCCATATCCATAAATTCCAATGTACAGGTATAGTCACAAACATTTGTGTCCAGGAAAATGGGTTTTGTGAACTATCCAGGCAGGAACGTAAGACTCTCTTTGCAACTTGCTCGAGGGAGAGCTGCAGAATGCAAGCATGACATTAACCATGGTTCTGAATGGAGTTGAAGCCCTTTTCTTTTGAGCAGTGTCAGCTATAGAAAAAGTTCCACTGTGTGTCTCCTGAAATAGATATAACAGTGTCTGGGCACCCCATACATTCAAATTGGACTGTGCACACAGCAAATATAGGCAAGCAGTTGGGTCACAAAGTGCAAGTAGGCACAGAATCAAGGAAGGCTGGTATGGAGCAGAATCTCCATGATGACTTAATTGAATGGATTGAAAGCAAAGTAGTTTTGTGCATGACTGCATGGTACTTCACTTCTCCCTGTACCTCACCATAACCTTCAGTAAAGCAGAAGCCAGAAATTAATCTTTTTCGCAAACTTTATGAGTGCGACCATACTTTGTAATGCAAGTAATTCTACAGAGAAATAACATTTTATTGTTCTCCAGATAACCCTGCCAGCAAGCAATCATAGGGAGCCACAAATGTTCTAGTTTTTTGTTAATAATTAGTTGGTGAGACTAGAAATCCTCTGTCCAAAATTATAGAGATTCAAGGATCAACATATAGTGCAAATCTTTCCTGGATCACTGTAGAGATATAATTCTCTAGGTTCCAGTTAAATCAGTTAAGAAAATCAACATTCAACCCCTGTTCTCCTTTCAGAAATGACAGAATTGTAATTTAAAGCAGAGAGAAATGCTATATGCAAGTACTACCGGTAGGTTGTTTCTGAAGATTATGACTTCTCCTTTCCTATTTATGTGACTGAATTCTGAATGCCTGTCTAAATCCTTCCCTGTGGGTCTTTCAAAAGCGCCATTTCATAATAAACTGCTCTTTTGGATAAATAAGCATTGACAGCACAGGCTGATAGAGAGATTCATTTGCCTTTACCACCAGGAAGTCTGTGCATAAAAATTTCCTTTACGTACAAGTTTTACAGTTCCTCAAAGCAGGAAGCTTGTGTTCATCTAACATTCAGTTGTGTATCAGGAGTCATTACTCTCAAACTGTTAATTTTGCCATTAAAAGAAATGTCATGCAATGGAATGTAGGACCTTAGTTCTCAGTAGTAATTCCCAGACCAAAGCATCTACAGCTTTGTCATTCTACTGCTGCTCCACTCAGATGAAGAAAAGCCATGAATATATTTGCATTCATAAACAGATACACCTGACAGAAATCTACATCATACTTCATAGCTGAGTTAAGAAGAAGTTTGGTCACTGTTTAGGGAACTGATTAGTCTTTGAAATGCATTGTTGATTTGCTGATGAGACTCAGATCTTCTGTCTTGCTTTAGAGAAATCTCCCAAACTGTCATTCCAGATTACCAGTTCTGTCAGCAGCAGACCTAGTTAAAGGTCCTCTGTTCAGATCCTATTCCATTCTGCCTGTTCTCTATCAGAATATTCTTCCCCCTCAGTCATGCCAACTCAACTATTGCTAAAATTGCGTTTCACAAAGATTTTGTGAAAATACATTTTGCTTTTCCCATTTTGGAGTTTTCTGTTTCAAATCTTGAACAGTTGCATAAACCTGATCACCTGAACAGTACAGCTGATGCCAGTTTCTGGTGAAGGATTGCAACAATGCATAACACAAAGTATAAGGAGGAAGGGGAGAGTTAATCTGCTGCCTATCTCCTGCAGAGGGACTATGTTGAATTATTTTCTACAGCTCCAAATCCCCATCTAAAAAGATAGGTAGCTATGGAACATAATACATTCAATAAGGTTAACATATTAGAAAAATTATTCACCCAGATTACATTCATGAATATACTGAGTCTTAGAATCCACTAACAAATCACCTTTGCACTGGTACTTGTTCAGAAGCTATCTTTTGGAAAACAGTGCTAGAGTTACTGTATGACATAGATTTGCATGTGCCAAGCATATCTCATGGAATTTCTAATGTGTTCCTGAGATCCTCTTTAGATGATGGAGAGAGAAATGTTCTTCTGGAAGCTACCAATGGAAAAAACTACCTGCGTCAGTTCAGGCATCTAAGGTAGACAGAGATGATCTGCTTACTTGATGCCTTTAGAGGTACTTTTGTGAAAGCTGGGTATTTAATCGAGACAGATTGGAACCCATTTCAGGATATTTATACCAACTCTGACTATGCAACACTCCTTTTATAATGAGAAGATCAAGTATTTTACATTTCTTGATATTATTATGCATTTCACATCCTTGGCATTTATCACCATTTTCAGCACACTCCCAGGAGTATAGCAATGTCTGTTAGCCGCTAAACTTTCCCAACACAAATATTTTTCAGTATTGATAGTTTCCTTTAAACCATATTTAAATAGATAGATGCATCTGTACATTAGCAAAGCTGCGTGTTTGGGGGTTTTGACTAATACTTGGATTAATGTATATTATTTAACCTTAGAAGACATTAAGAATCATGTAAGACCTACAAACTCAGACCTTGACTTATCAGGGAGTTCAAAGACTGAAAGCTAGATCTAGTGAGGGTACAAGTACCTTCTCTGATTTGATAAAATACATCCTAATTGATGTAACAACAGGAGTCAAGACCATATGAGTAAGATCCCAACCTTGTTGTCCCACACCTGTCCTCTTATTTAAGCTTTATGATAGTATTATCAGTAAACAAGTTATTTTGATCTCAAGATCAAGAGTTTTTGAATAGAGAAATCAATGCCCCAGTTTTCTTCAAGACTACCATGTACAATTATTCACTTTAAAATCAAAAAAGAAAGTTCTTGGGACTAGAGGTATCTTACTTCAGACTAGCCTCATGG